TAGCCATCGCATGTGTGACTCTGTTGTTCTGGGCTGCTGCTAGTGTCGTCCAGGTTTATAACAGCCGAAGGCCGAGGTGACGGTTGGTTGACATTCTGGCGGGGAATTTGAATTTCACCAAATCCTGTCAAAATCGATTCCTTGAGTCTTTTAACCAGCTCAGTTTTCCTGCCAGATTTGGAAAGCTTTCTTTTCTCAAGTTCGTCCCTTAGATCTTCCACCTTCAGGGAGTTGATGGACCGTCCATTTAATGCATTCTTGATAGCAGCCATTTCACTCAATTCACAGGGCGAAGAAAGCGAACCATAATCGGGCACAGAAGTAGACATATTCTGGTTACTGATCCGATTAGCGACTACCAGAGTTGAGTCAGTGTATACCTTACTCAAATCAGGCAAGGAACTGGTCCTAACAAGCCGCGGCCTGGAGAAAAAGCGATCAGCGTTCGGAGCTAGAAAAACGTGTCCGTCCGCCATATTATGGCAGAGTAGGACACTGGTCCACAAGATATGCTGATTTCGTTCAGTGAACAGGAACTCGAGGTATAGATTGAAGGGCGTTGGGGGTGGGTCGCCTCTTATATAAAGTTATATGGGGGGTGGGTCAAGAATTAACTAATGGGCTTAAAGGGGTGGGTCACATTTTTTCTTTCATGCTAAAACAAAAAAAATCCCCCCCACCCCCCCACATAAATAATGACCGGTCCCATATATTGTTGTTGTTGTTGTTGTTGTTGTCGGCTGGCCTGTAAAATAGTTACCACCAGGCTACCGGGCACCTTTTTTATATCTTTGACTGAGTAATTGCTTGATTCCACAGAGACATGTCAATAAGTAGCTGAAAACTCTAATTTTCACAAAGAAAGGACAACACATTCTTCTTCGGGGGGAGTTGGGGGTGGGGGGAACAGACCTGGTTTGTTGCATAATACTTTTGCCTTGTCACATTGTAGTTACCATTGGAGCAAACAAGTCACTCACAGCAGTAACTGTTTTAGGGTACAGTGATCAAATACTCCTGATATGCACCAAGGAAACATGAGTAAAAAGTGTGAACATCAAAAATACCGTAAAATTCCAAAAACGGTAAATTTACTTCCAACTATAAGGCTAGCCCAATCGATTTTGAAACACTTGAATTTCCCTCCGTAGATAATCCTCTCTGAATACAATCCCCTCCAAAAACAGGCCCCTCAAAAAGGGCCTTTAAAAAATATAAGCCCCGGGGCTTATTTTCGGAATTTTACGGTATGCACTTAGTTGCAACAAGTTTCACAATTTTGTTAACAGATTAATTAAACCACCAAGAACTGAGTCTGGATTTTTTTTTATGATGCTTATTGACTGCTGTATGAATGGTACACAGATGCTGGCCAGAAAATTTAACCACACCCTTAAAAGAGACTTTGCTTATGAAGAACGATTTTGCAGAATCAATAATTAGCTGTAGTGATTTTTACCGGCTAGATGCAAAAGGATTTAAAATAAATGGTTAAATGCTTTTGACTCTTCAGTACAGTGTGACTGTGTTTGGTTTTTTCCGTGTATATACATCCAAATTTTCTTGTGAGTAAAATATTAGATTTCTGAGATGAACACCATCATGTAGCTGCATTGTGTAATTGTGTGGTATTTTTATTTTTGATGCACAAATTTTTTCATCACACAGCTCAGAGGAATATATTAATTGCTATTGCCTAAAGGAGTACTTGACATGTTTAAAGAAGGTAAACTGAAACATTCTTAATGCTCACCAACTACCAGGCACTTCAGGAGATACTGTCACATAATAGTAATTAAGCTGGTAAGTTATAACATCAAATTATGATTCACAATATAAATCATAGTTTTTGAAAGACTTTGTTAAGTTATGGAGGGAGATACTGATAATTGGTCATATACTTCAGAGTTGTCTTTGTAGTTTAATAATAGCAATTTGAGAATTTAAGAGCAGAGTTTTAGCCAGGAAATTATAAGTGGGCATCCAGTTACAGTAATGTTTGAGCATTGCCATTTGTTCCATCAGATTATGTCTCAGTTAATTCTTAGTTAGTCCTGCTAGGTCCAAAGTCAATGTACGTTCTTCATGTTTTACCAGTGCTGGAATGACAGTGTCCAGGAGAGACGCTTTAGACCGCTTTAGTGCAGTGGAAGTTTGCCTAAGGGACACTCGCGTATTAGCAGATAGCAAAACCCTGTTTTTGCTAACTCCCATACAAACTCTGTATTTTTACATTCGCATAAGCAGCTAGCTCTAGTTACGGGCACTTTTTTCATGTTTTGAGGTTGTCTGAGAGCTTCCACTGTATATTGTTTTTGCAGTCATAAATATACAGAACCAGAAGATGATCCATGTAAACATGATGGACGGATGAGATCCATCTCACACTACCCTGGTAACTGGGCTATGCATGTTTATATCCCGTGTGAGTGTCACTGTTCCAGTTGTTTTTTTAAAAATACAATTTTTGTTGATGCATTTTCTGTGACTTTACCACTTTCCATTGTCCAAAAACTGGTGTTTTGATGATTTGCATGACCCATCTTGAGTCAACCTACAGAAAAACGACATACTACGTTTTTATTCATATAGCCATTATAAATGCTGTAAAGCAGAGTGATATACTAGAAGTACACTTGGGATTGCTTGCTTTTTAACAGGGCCCCTTTGTGAAAAACGGAATCATCTTCACTGCCTGTCTGCTGGAGATACTTCTACTTTTTGAAAGTAATAAAAATGTGAGAGTAAGGGTAGAGCACAGGTTGGATTTGTGGTTACTTATTAAATAGTAGTACCACTAAAAATTCCACAGTTTGACTAAGTTGTTTAAAATTTTGGTTTTTGGAACCCCCATAACACTTTAGCCCCTTTTTGCCATTGATTCAAAATTATTTTTGACCAATTTATTACAGTTTCTGTGTCCTTACGTCGCTGACAAGACTGTCTCTTTAGAAACAAAACGAATTTGGACAGTCTGTACCTCATGTAAGACTTCATATAATATCTTGAGCCACGCCTAATTTTTAATTTGGGGTCGAGGCCAATTTGTGTTTATGAGGTTGGCTTGCTTTGAACATCGTTGATTACAGATTAGTGATACAAATATAAGGCTGGTCCATCGGGAAACAGTTAACTTTGTTTCCCTCAAATCTCAATGTTTCCCTCGGGTTCAGTCACATAATTGCATGGACATATATAAAAATGTGCAATCAGATTCAATGCTCAACAGTTTTCTGTGACTGATGTTGGTTGTTGCATTAATGTCTACACAATTAAGTGCTTTGTGTAATTTTAACTTACATGTATTTGGGATATTTTTTGCATGACTTATATTGACTTTTTTGTTTTGTGGCTATAATGCCATCTTTTAAATTGCATGTCTTTAATGCCAACAATAAAGGTCATGGAAGTAATTAAGTGACATTACATTAAAACTTAGGTGAAACAAGAAAATAGTATATGTAAGGTGGTTTGTCTGGAGAATATGTGATCAGACATCAGGTTGTCAATTATATGTTTTTAAGAAAGGTTGTTATTCATACAGGGCTGTTAGTATGATTTTAAGTTCAGTTAATGATTTTAAGTTGCCAGGTAAATACGGCTATAAGCTAGCAGGCAGGGAATCAAACAGCTCTGGAATTTCTATAAATCTTCTATTTTACTATGGGGAAATTCCAAGCACCCAGTCTTCATTTATGGGAAGCTGTTATCTAGCTAAGCGGTAGTTATAATTATATTTGCAATTCACATTTTTTAATCCATTTTATCCAGAATAAAAAAGTTGGAGAAGAAATTTTGGATTTTCTCAATGTCCCATATCACACAAGGTAAGGATTGAAGATTTGAAAGGAACCTGTCCTAAAAGTGTATACTATTACACTACATGTATCAATATCTCTCAGGTGGGGAAGGTCAGGCAAGATTTTGGTATGCTTCTTGGCAACTCAGTCAATCTTCCCACCCTGTTAAAGGTCAAAATTAAATTCCGGTTGAAATGTTTTTAACCTTGTTTGATTCTCAAATCCCTTTTGTCTCATAACCCTAATTCCTGAATAATTAGGGCTAGGAGACAAAGGAAAGTGAGAAATAAATTAACCTAGGTCATTCGATCCATCTGCTCCTGGAAATTTTGCGGAAATATTTACATAATTGCCTGTTGAATCCATCTACCAGTAATCAAGCCAGTTTTTGATCACTATCTGGCCAAAGAGAACCAAAACTACCCAAAATGCCATTTGTAAGTCAAGCGCTTTGAAGCCTTCTGTTTCCTATGCTATATACAGGTTTCTCAAGTGTGGGCATGCACACAGAAAGCAAAATCCCCTGTTCTTTCACTTTTCTTGCCCTGTTTTTTAGTTTGTTTTTTCCATTTCTCTTCTTCTACTTCTTTTGCTGGGCATTTACTAGGCTCAATTTTCGTTGGAAATGGTTTTGGGCAAACTTTTGGGATTGTAGGATTAGATGGAAGGAAGTATAGATGTGTAATGGAAAAAAAGATTTTCACTGGAATTTTCAGGTCAACTTTTCACGTTTTTTTTCATTTTTCTCTGGTATGTTTGACTGAATAGTGTGTCGCTATGATCTTTAGATAAACTTAACAAGGTCAAAGTCTTTTAAGTTGTTTTTAAAACCTTAAAGTTTGAATTTGTCCTTAGAAAATCTGGAATTGCGTTCCATTATTTTGCCGCCAAGCAGCTCCACGATTTTAGGCCATCTGAGGTTGTTTTAGGCTTAGTTAAGATCAATATATTATTGTTGCCCCTGAGATTATAGCTAACTTTCCTACGTCTACGTAGTGGCTAAGTCTTTGGTTTTGAAGTGTCGAGAGGCCTAGTTGCCTTAAGAGCGGATGTCAGTAAATATCGACCAGAGGTCTACAAAAGTGAAAAATCGAAACTTCTCAAAAAAATTCACAAAGTAGCACTAGGTAAGCTATTAACATAAATGTAATTTTTACTTCTGTCCGATAATTATTTTCCACGTACGGGGGGGTTATTGGTTTCGCGGCTCTCGGACCGGGTTTTCCAGGCCCGAGGCCATGTGTCGCAAAAAAATCGTTTTAAAATTCAAATCCATTGCAATGCGGACAACAAATAACTTATTCAGAAGAGTACTTAATTGCACATATTCTAAGTGGTGATTTACTCAGTTTGAACGAAAGTGTAATATTTTGGAGATTTTTCATTATTTTCAATATTTTGAACGTTTTCGTTCAATGAAAAAATGGCAAATTTCAAAGCCCAAAATCGTCGACTGGTACCTCGATTTCAGTAACGAGT